CATGTGCCACAGTCTACAATCACATTTATGTCCACTGGTGACAAGCATTTCTTTCTTTCTTGGAAACTCTCTGTAGGGTGGGAACCAATGGCTTGCAGACCAGCGCTGGTCCACAGACCATCACTTTGAGTGAGGAGAGTGATGTTTAAGAGGGAAAGAGTGGATGGAGGAATGCAGGAGGCCTCAGTCCATCTCCAGCCTCTCTTGCAGCATCCCTTGGTGCTGCCTTGCTGTTTGGGTACCTGCTGTGGATGTGTGAGAAAACACAAGAATATATTTGTGTTTAATTAAGAGTATTTACAGACCATCAGGGGGATACGAATGCTAGGTAGGTTTCATATTTTAAAAATTAAGTGCTGGCTCCTAAGAAATCCCTTCTCTGTTAGCCTTCTTCTCTCACTTTTCAAGTGAAGCAGTTTTCAAAGGATAGCCATGTTAGTTTGTTATCAACATAAAAAGGAAAGAAAAAAAAGAAGGGAAGAAGGATCTAGAAGCACCTTTGAGATGAACTGATCTATCATAGCTTGTGTAGATATCAATCCACTTCTTCAGATGCACCGATAAAGTAATATTGAAAATACAGTTGCATGGTTATGGGATAGTATAGAAGATAAACTTTTCTTTGCATTGGAAAGCTCTTGTGCTACTCCTGTTCATTCCCTCACTCCACCCCACCTCTGAAATCCTCTATGGTCATCTCTTTCCTTCCTTAACATACAGATCTTTCCAGGGTCTTTATCATTCTGTATTATGAAAAAATCTTATGTTATTACAAAGCAGCCAGAATTAAAAACACACCCAGGTTCTCTCACCTGGATTTACGTTCTTTGTAGTCATATACTTGCACAGCGGCATTGTGTGGAACTCGGTAGGAGACAGCCCGTGTCCTGTCACGGTAAACTGGGTTGCTCCCATCTGATGCATCTCTGGAACGATCAACCACAGGATTCCTTTCTGAGGTCAACAAGTCCTCCACATGGGAGGGTAGGTCCTTCTCCCACAGTTCCTCTTCCTGAGACAGCATGTAAGTATGGCCAATAACAGCCCGGACCTGTGACAAAAAGACCAGGGAGAGGGGAGGGGGCAAGGTTCAATGTTAAGCTCTAGTATTAATAGACTGGAAAATAGACAATAATACCCTTGCCTGAAATTTACCAAAATATCCTGGATCATGTTATGCATTTACGGTACTTTACATAGCCTAAGAAGTTTATCATACGGGGGAAATCCTGTGCAGAAACGGGATTTAGAAGGTGGGGGAAACCTGCAAAAGCGGGCAGATTTTCACACACATTGCTGTTAAAATGGGGTTAACCCAAACAGAAAGTAGTCAGAAATTGCATCTTTTTACTTGCGGGATTTTCCCAAAGTAAAAAGAAGCAGTTTCTGACTACTTTCCATTCGGGTTAACCCCATTTTAACAGCGACATCGTCTGAAAATCTAACCGTTTTTGCTTTTTTTGCAATTTAAAGCCCCGTTTCCACACGGAATTTCCCCCATGTGATAGACTCCTAAGACTTGTTACAGATGCAATTTAAATTTATCTCACGATACTGAAGCCAGAGCTTGGGAAAGTTTATTTTTTTGGACTCCAGCATGGTCATACTGACTGAGGGATTCTTGGAGTTGTATTCCAAAGAAGGAATCTTCTCATGGCTTGATTGAAATTATTTCTGGAACAGTGGAGTTGCTGTCACACTAGTGCCAATCCCTTCAACTTGACTGCATAGGACTTTATCACACTGAAAACAAAGATGGGAGAATAGTAGGATGCTGCTTCAATATTGCACGATTTTGCAAAGAGAATCACATGACATCACAGTGTCATGATAATCCTGCGATTATAATCATCATCATCATCATCATCATCATCATCATCATCCTGCGATTTTCTCACAAATAAAAAGTGGTGCTAGAATTCCTGTTTATTCATGGGATAATCATGATGTCATGTGATGTTGTGTGTTAATCTTTGCAAAACTGTGCAATATTGATGGGAGCATGCCACTATGCTCCCATCTTTTCCCCAGTGTGATAATGTCCCTGGTAACCACAAAGGAGCAGCATATCTTTTTAGTTATTAGGTGGCAGTCAAACTACAATGGAGGTTCCACACATCGCTTAATATAGTGCTATATTATTTGGTGATGCCCTTCTACATAGTCAAGATCCCTCTTAGCATGTTAATTCACTAATGAACTATATTCACTAAAAGTCCTTTCCAGTGTTATTTAGAAGCTATCTGCTTTCAGGTTCTGGTTCCTAGAAATGTAAAGTAAACTTTATTAACCAAAACAAAAGAGTCCTGTTTCACCTCAAAGATTAATAAATAGATCACAACATGGCTTTTTGTGGACTATAGCTCATTTCCTCAGAGGCATAGGATGTTATCCAGAATTATGAGTCAAGCATGGCAGTGTCATTAACAACAGCTGTGTGAAAAATGGTGTTAATAATCCAACTGTCACTTTGCATTGCATTTCCCCTTGACTCTCACATTTCCACAATCCAATCTGAAATTCTGTATACTATTCCATAGATCTAGTGAAATGGACAATTATGAATGCAAGGTCATGCTATAAGTATGTTAGGTTTTAAGCTGTCATAGGCCTCCTTTTTGCTGCACAAACAAATATGGGTATCTATCTCTCTGGAATTCATCCAACAAATCAAAGTTCCCCCACACTACCTAATCACTGTATTTGTCACTGCAGTTGAGTGATGCAGGGGGAGAGCATCAGCATCAGATAAAGGAGAGGCCAAGGTCTTATGCATGAATTAAACCCTCTTTTTAATACCCCCAAAGGGCCAAAACCAAAGAACCTCAGCAGAAATCATAGGATATCCTTCACAACCACCACTAACTGTGTATTTTTTAAAAAAACAAAACTACTCCAAGAGCTTATGCTAAAGAGTGGTTAATAAATAATGGATATTAAGTGTGACAGAGGGCAGTGATACTTTTGTCAGCAGTGACCTTTGAAGGTCTGTATCCCAAGGGTGCTGCTAATGAGCATGTTTAGTCTGAGCTGCTGATCAAAGAAAGCAGCCACTATCCAGTAAGCACCATTCTATCGGCTCTGCTTACCTTCCCAGTCTTGATATCCCGCACATAGATGCCCTCATTCTCTGCTAGTGGGATGGAACGGCGCTGCTCCAGGACTTCCACCTCAGTTGGCGGCACATACTCCAAGGGGCCCCGGATCAACCAACGGTCACCTGGCTTACGTAACACTTTCTCATCATCCTGGATGAGCACGAGGCAGAGACAGAGAGGGCAGGGGGTTCAAATGTCTATCCACACCAGACATCCTGCCCTTCTCCCCCTATGCCAGTCTGCAAAATTACTTTTAAAAGATTATCAGTTAAAGTTACATCATAACTTCCCAGACTATGGAATGGCCTGATGGATGAGATCCATCACTTACCAACGTTAGACAGCTTTAAAAGGGCTGTCAAGACAGTTATCTTCCGGCAGGCCTTTCCTGATTAGTCCTCCCAGTCCTAGAACCTGTCCTCCGTACCTCTTTCCCCTGCCCCCCTATCCCAGCTGCTATTATACCCGCTGCTGCTGCAATTATTGTAATTTGTAAATTGTAATTTATTTTTAAACTGTTTTAAATTTTGATGCTGTTTAATAAATTTTTAAGGGTTGGAAGGGTTGGGGTTTGGGGCTGATATTATTGTATTGTATTTTTATGTTGGAAGCCACCCTGATTGCTAAGCAGAAGGGCAGGGTACATATAAATTATTATTATTATTATTATTATTATTATTATTATTATTATTATTATTATTATTACAGTTATAGTAACAGAAGTTGTTTCCAATACCCATCCACACCAGAAAACCTACATTCCTCCCCTGACTCAGAGCCTGAGGAGTTACTTTTGAAAAATGATTAGTTATAGTTATAGTTCAAAGGCCTCTTCAAAGTAGTTACTGTAATAGTTGTATTTTTAAAAAATGGTTACTTTCTCATTTCTTGAAAGAAACTGGAGTTGATATTTCTAGCTACTTTTAGTTACATTTTTTAAAACAACCCGCTGCTATGAGGTAAAACACAAGCCAGCATTTGAACCATGGGATATTCCTCCTCCTCTGTTTAGTGAAGCCATAGCCCTATAACTACAAAAGCATCTAAAAAATTAGTTACACAGCAAAAGAAGAGATGTTAACCCCTGATTAAATTAAAATGGTAACGTAGCTGAGTTATACCTTTACCATTGGAAGAAGGAATTTATAACAACTACTAGTTCTTTACAATTATAACTTCCTGTGCAGTTCAACATAACCTCAGATTATTCTACCTCATTCACATCTTCCAAGAGGCAGAGTGCTCGTAGTAGGAGACCCTCTTCTTCCGAAAGGATGTAAATGTCTTGGATGCCTTGTTCCAGCCACTCTCCAGGCCTCAGGAAGAATGAAACTTCCCCCTGAGGAAATGATGGCAAAGGTTGGAGAAAACCATGAGTGAAGACTTGCAACCAGCCTGGGAAATATGGTGCCTTGCTGTGCCTATGTCAAATGTGCAACCATCCTGCCAATATGTACAGCGGCAAAGAAAAACACCTGCTCTCTTGTTTTATCCTAGTGGACCTCTTACATGAAAAAAATGGCACA